TTCATCATCACCAAGGCGAACCTCAGGACTTACCCTGGCTCCTGAATCTCCTGGTTGGCCCTGAAACACGAAGGACAAGGACAATCAACCTGGGATGTGGAACCTCAAGAGGTTCCTCTCCCAACTTCATCCCATAAAAAAAAAAAGCTCCTGGGGCCTGATGAGCCCAAAACCCCAAAATTCCCACTCCCAAGGGAAGGCAAAGGTGTCCAGACACGTCAACCTGCAGGATTTGGGGTCAGGTCCCCTCTTCTTGGGGCACATCAAGGCCGACGACCCCCCTCTCTCACCTTGATGGAGATCCCTGGAGGCCCCGGCATTCCCGGTGGTCCCGGCATTCCCGGTGATCCCGGCGGTCCTGCCGCCCCAGGAACGCCTGGCTGCCCTTTGGGTCCCTGAAACGAGGGAAAACCAGGAGAGGGAAGGGATTTGGGATCTCTCCCATCTCTCCTTTTGCTTCTCCTCCAGGCTTGATACTCACAGGGGGGCCCGGCTGCCCATTCCGGCCGGGAATCACCTCCACTCCTCCCAGGACGTATCCCGGCTCGCCCTGCGGACAAAGGCGGGAGGAAATGTTGGGAAATCCGGGAATTTGATGATTTAGGGGCGATTCCATCAGCAGGGAAAGTAAAGTTAAACTCAAACCATCTCCTTTGGCAGCAAAACCACGTGGAAAAGACACGGGATTTGTTCATTGGCTTGGAAGAAAATGAATTCTGGAGGGGGGGGAAAAAAAGGAGGTTGGATTTCAGCAGGATGCATTCCCGGTTTTCAGTCACACTGATAGATCAGGGGGATGCAGGGAAGGAGCAGGAATGTGCAGTGGGAGAAAGGGGAAGGATAAGAAGCTCCTGGGATTGTCTGGGAGAAAAGGGAAGGATAAGAAGTTCCTGGGATTGTACTGGGAGAAAAGGGAAGGATAAGAAGCTCCTGGGATTGCACTGGGAGAAAAGGGAAGGATAAGAAGCTCCTGGGATTGCACTGGGAGAAAAGGGAGGGATAAGAAGCTCCTGGGATTGCTCTGGGAGAAAAGGGAAGGACAAGAAGCTCCTGGGATTGCTCTGGGAGAAAAGAGAAGGATAAAAAGCTCCTGGGATTGTACTGGGAGAAAAGGGAAGGATGAGAAGGTCCTGGGATTGCAGTGGGAGAAAAGGGAAGGATAAGAAGCTCCTGGGATTGCACTGGGAGAAAAGGGAAGGATAAGAAG